TTATTGTTAATTTTGTTTATTGTTAATTTTGTTTATTGTTAATTTTGCCTTTGTTTATTGTTGCCCATTGCTTACCTGGACTTATGTTTTTTTTTTGTCTGGATGAAATTCAGCACCATTAGGAGAAAACTGGGGGAGAACTATTCAGAAGACCAATCGAGGGAATCAGTGTGAATTAATTAATGTTGGATGAATCCTGGGTTTTGAAAGGGATTGAATGGCCTTCGGATGAGCAGAGGTTATGTAGCTCACATACTCTGTGAAATATAGTTTTCTTCCTGAGTCAGATGTATTTGTGGAATTAATGAGTACAGCTGGAGAGGGAAGAATTAAGATAATTAGCAGAATGTTTCTTTTTGAGAGATGCATGGTTTTATGATCTGGATGCACAGCTTGAAACGGTAACTGCTGGAAGGAAATTGTATGAATACTTGAAAAAACAATTGCGAGGCTATAGACAGAGGTTGGGGAAATGGAACTCATTGGGAGTCACTTACAAAGAACAAGCACAGGCTTGAAGGGTGGAATGGCCTATATTTGTGCTGTGTTTTTGTATAATTATCCAGCATTGGATTGAATAACTGGCTGATATCCAGAAATCTCACAGTGGGGATCCTAACAGACAACTAATTAATGCATCTCAAACTATTCTCACAATTGTTTTTGTGAAGGTTCCTCTTCATACAGCGAGGATTTCAGAAAGCAGTGTTCATGTATCACAGCCTTCAAGGTGAGAGAATCTAATCCTGCTCTTTACTAAATATCTTGTTTTCTTTATTTGCTCCTCTCTCCTGAGTGGCTTTTATTTCTGGAGTTGTTATTGTATTGGATTTATGTGCAGCAATTGATCAAAAGATGAATTCCGTTGGTGGTGTACTTTAGACAGACTGCGTTTTTACAAATGTTCACCTCACTCCTTGGTGCAAATTGAGTATCTACAGTAGGATTGAACATTGGTTCTCGAAATGTAAATTGCCTGTTTTGGACTGTGAGGCTGTTTGCAATCTAATCTGTCTGTCTAAGGCCTGACCTTGAGTGGATTGAGAAAGGGTGAGTATGATGGGCAGTATCAGTCTAGCCTTTCTGCCAGTGCTGCAATTCAGTGTTAAATTCAAGTCTGTAATTGGGTAACAAATGATTTACGAGGAGAATTTTATTCTGATCGCTTCATGTTTTAGTTGTGAGAAAAAGCAAACTTGCAGTTTTGCAGAGTCTCATCATGCCCTCTGGATGTCCCTAAGCACTTTACAAGAAAGGATTATTTTAAGAAATCGTTTTAGGCAGGCACACAAACCAAGCAATTTTTGTGCAGTAAGACTCCATAGATAATAAATGAAGGAATGATTTTGTACATTGCGATAGTTTTTATTAATGTTGGATAAGGGATACGTGTGAGATCCTAGACCTTTTTGGATAGAACCACGAGAGATTTTAGATCTGCATGTGTAATCAAACAGGACCTTGGGCTAAAATCCAAAATGTGACATACGCGGTTGCATAGTAAATTCTGTCCGATCCAATATCAATGCCCAAATTGCTCCACTGATGACCAGTACCTGTTTTGTATCTTGATATTTAAAGAAGCCAAAGATTAATGTAAAGATCAATATAGAGGCAGATAAGCCCAGGATGAATAGTTTAAGTTGTAGTTGGAATTTCTAAGTCATTCATTAAAGTCAGATTGTAAATTTGAGGTTCTAAACATTGTGTAACATTAGATATAGTAAATGTGGAAAGGCTATTTAAGTCAGCTGAAATCAGGAGGACTGTGGGAAATGTATATAAGGATGATATTAGATATCAGCAGGTATTTGAACAAGTTTCCAGAAGGGCTAGTGAATGCACTTTCTTCAAACAATCAAAAGGGAGCTATTAAGTGTGCCTAACAGTATTGCACATCGAAGGTTGTTGGGTTATTGAATGGGGCTGTTCTGCTTACTATGGTATCAAGGATCTTGTTTCTTTCATGGATCAGAGAGGAAGTTAAGAGATTTACCTTGCTAGATTGGCATGAGGTTTTTTGTTTTCCCCGTTTTTTTGCCTTTTGCAGAAGTTTGTGATGTTGGAGGAAAGGAGGATGGGTCGGATGAGAGTCCTGTGTGTGTACATTGCCTGGTAACACTATGGAAACTGCCATCCTTACCTACATGTGATTCCAAACCCACAGCAATGTGGTTGACTCTTAATTGCTCTTTGGGTAATTAATGCTGGTCTGACCAGTGATACCCATATCCTGTGAGTGAATTTGAATAAAAGTATAGAAAGCAGTTTGGAAGGCAAAGATATGTTGGCTTTCATTGAAAAGAGATTGGGGTACAAAAATGATCGCTTCATGTTTTAGTTGTGAGAAAAAGCAAACTTGCAGTTTTGCAGAGTCTCATCATGCCCTCTGGATGTCCCTAAGCACTTTACAAATAAAGGATTATTTTAAGAAATCGTTTTAGGCAGGCACACAAACCAAGCAATTTTTGTGCAGTAAGGCATCTTCTTATAATTGTATGGGACTTTGAGACCACACCTGGACTATTGTGTGCAGTTTTTATCTCCATATTTCAAGATATATTTATTCTTGCATTGGAGGCAAATATTCACGAGATTGGTCCATGGAATGAAAGGATTGTTCTATGATGTGAGGTTGAATAAATTGAGTCAATGGAATTTAGAGAATGAGAGATTATCTCATTGGACCATGCAAGATGTTGAAGGGCTCGACAGAGATGAGATATGATGTTATTTCTGGAGGCTGATCAATCTAGAACATGGGCGCACTGTTTCAGGATAAGGAGTCAACCAATTTGGACTGAGATGAGGAGAAATTTCTTCATTCTCTAGCCCAGAAGTTGGTGGATGCTCCAACATTGAATATACTTGAAGCTGCAATAGATAGAGTTTTGGCATCTCAGGAAAATGAGGGATGTGGGAGGAGAATTGGAAAAGGAGTCGAAAACTAAGATTAGCCATAACGATACTGAATGTGAAGCAGGTTCAATGGGCTGTGTACTGTGCTCCTGCTCCTACCGTATGTGTTCTGATACTGTATTAATGTATCAAGATTGTAAATATACTTCATTGACATTTTTGTGACATTGTATTATTCTGAGTTGTACAATAGACTGTAAATGCAAGATTTTTTTTCTGTTTATCCCTAATGTGTCGAAGGAAGATGCTGTCCTATTCTGTCTTCATGATACTCAGGGCACCTCACCCTAGTCAGCTGTGTTCCCAAGTAGGTTAGCCATGGAAACTGAGTAGAATTTTTGATGATGGAAGCACCTTGGCTGAGCCCTAAGTTTGTCTTTGGACGATGCACCATGCTCGTACTAGGCAATGGAATCTTCCATGTGTTGCCATTTCCTTCAGATGGTTAATGTATGCTTGTTTATCCTCCCTTACCCTCACAACAGAATTGTGGTCATGTGTAACTGTGGGCAAGTGGTGTTTGTACTGGAAATGCGGGATCCTGTAGATCCAACAGATCCAAAATGAGGAGTAATTGTAAAAGTATCTTTAATGTCACATGGATAATGAATGGAAATGAAAACTGTGACTGCTTTCTTTTAGCTCCTTGGAGAAGGTCCCTCATCGCCATATAGGTTAATAGCTGCAACAGCACAGAACCAGGATCAAATGTCGAACCAGCCTTGTGTGTATTAAAAAAAGCATCTGCTGCTGGTGTATGAGTTCATTTGTTAATGGCATTTAACATAGCCTCAGTAGCCTCAATCATTTTCAGCTCCTGTACAGTGTCTTGAAATGAAGAAAACTGCTTTTGTGGGCTTCTATCCGAATCATGAGCTAAATGCCCAAAGGCTCTCGTTCCCCTGTGATTCAAAAGACAATCCTTGGTTCAGAAACTGGGGAGGGAATGACAGCGGCAGTGGGGCCTATCTTTGCAAAGTGACTTAATAAAGTTAGTATTCATTCAATGTGAATTTTAATGTGTGAGAAAAGCACCTCGAGGGGTTGCCTGTCTCTAGTCAATACCCATTTGGATTCAGCCAATTTGTAGTCAATGAGGGAGAAAATGTATACTTTGTAAAATTATATGACAGAATTGTTTTGAGAACTCTCTCTTCCAACAACCCCTCTCAGCCACACCCACATGACCTTAGAGAAATCAGAACTAGACTTAATCCTGCCTTACTCCAGATCCTAACCTGCCTAGTTTCCAACTAGTTTCACTAGTTCATCATCAGGCGCAACCCCCTCTACCCCACTATATCCATTAATTTTCCCACTCCTGATAGATGCTGCATTTACTCTCATATCCTAACTCTCAAATCAATACAGATGAAGTCGAGAGGGGAGGTCTAAGTCTCTGGCTGTGGTCATAATGTAGCCTTAAATTGTGACCCTAGCATATTTTCTCTGGTCTATAATTAAGATGCCTTTTCCTGGTCCTGCATTAATAAGCCCTAGATAACCAAACTTCACACAAACAATTTTACAGTCTGTTTCAGTCAACCAAGCTCTGATTTACCTGCACTTCACTCAATTTAGTCTACTTGCTCACAATGCGGTCTCTTCTACATTGGGAGACGAAATGCATTCTGGGCAACTGCTTTGCGGAACAGCCATGTCCTGTCGGCAAAAACGACTCCTGGTGAATGTTTCTGCCTTGGGACTGCTGTAAGGCCCAGCAAAGCTCCAACGCAAGCCAGAAGAACAGTTTCTCATTGTCTGCTTGGGACCATCCAGCCTTCAGGACTCAACATCGAGTTCAGTAATTTTAAGGCCAGGACACCTCCTTCAATGTTCTTTACCCACCCTCAAACCCCTCGCCCTGTCATCACATGGGCTGTTTTCATCTTAGACAACCCATTTTCACTCACTAATGGTCCCAATTAGCAGCTTTTCTTTCTTCTGGGCTCACCATTATCCATCCCTTTGTCTGCTCAACCACTGTTTTCTGTCTCTGGGGTCCATCTTGACCCATTGTTTACTGGCCCCTAACCCCATCCGTCTTCAACATGTATACCACTTCTACCTAGCTACAGTCAGTTCTGAAGAAGGGTCACTGGACCCAACTCTGCTTTCTCTCTCCACAGATTCTGCCAGATCTGTTGAGTCTCTTCAGCAATTTCTGTCTTGTCTTGTGATGTAATGGTATTAGAGAAGGATACAGAGAAGCCCTGAACTTTATTCATTTTTATGGATTTTTGTTCCAGACCCTGACAGTGTGTTGGTAGGAAATGAGGAAAGCTGTCAATGCACATTTGGAATGGACAATGTGGCTCAGCCTCATGGTGCTTGTGAATTATCTTGCTCTTGGTCATTAATCTCTATTGGAAACAGAATTTTTTTTATGTAATGGCTTCCAACTTCTTGACGTAAAGTTTGAAGTGCAACAGACAACTTGCACAGAACAAGGGTCCCACAGTTGTCAGTTATTTCATGGAAATGGGGGCATGAGTGGCAAGGATTTGTTGCCCATCGCAATTGATGTTGAACTGAGTGGCTTGCTGGGCTATTTTAGAGGGCAGTTAAAAGTCAATCACATTGATCTCTATTGGCACCTCCTTGGCAGCTGTAACATTGTATCCTGCACTCTGTTCTATTACCCTGATGCACTTGTATAGTACGATCTGCCTGCAAAGCACATAAGAAAACACTTTTCACTGTACCTTGGTACACGTGACAGTGATAAATCAAGTCAAACATTGCTGTGCATCTTGAGTTATATGCCTGCTAGACAAGAATAGAATGGCAGCTTTGCTTCTCTGAAGGATA